AAATATGTTATATATTTTTAATAGTTTATAAAACGGTAATTCATCGTACCGTACAACTATCAATTTGTTATAATTACGTCCATTGCCATAGGATTTGACACGACAACGCAATTATTAGTTTTACACTGGTAGAATGGCAAGGAATTCTTATTTCTGTTAGGTTTGCGGAAATATACTTGTATAAAAACAAAACATTCAATTATTTTTTTTATTGATAAACAAATTATTTAACATAATTTATATTCTAAACATGATGACATAATTATGTATACATCGTTTCGATAAAAGAATCCATTGAACACACATCAATTATAATACATAATACAATCGTTGCTATTATTCATCATTTCCTACATTCTGGAGTAAATATTTTACGGTTTCGATTTTTACATACTTAAGGTAAATTTCCACTGTGTTTGCATCTGTGAAATTCAAGATTAGATCAACAATATAATGCTTTTCTTAGTTAACATTGCTTTAGCCAATACCTGTAACTTTTGTTACATCAAGGATTTCGAATCCGATCTCACAGAACCTCAAAGAGTTACTTTGCTGAAAATTACAACAACAATTTCGGAAAAAAACTGTTTTAAAATGTCTACACAATTTATAACATAAGTACCAATGAATCAGGATTAAGGTTTTGCATCTTGTATGATTTATTTCACTACTACTTTGTGTCAAGGAGCGCTTCTACAATGTCGTGTAGTGCCGTGTTTAGCGACATTCCGCGGGGATAGACCGCGGAGAGGTTTGTGGTCATTGACCCATGATGCGACTAAACGCTCTGCTTCCGCCAACACCCGGCAAATAAAATCAATTAGCGCAACCATCGCTGTTAGACCGTTACAGTCGCGCTGACAACTTTGACTCTAACAAATTCTTTACTGTACCTCAGTTTTATAACTATGTATAACAAAGTACCATTGGGATTTATCTTTATTAGTATAGTAACAGTGCAATTTATGTAATAAATTAATATCAGTTTAAATGGATACATTCACTGCATTCATTAGTATAAGAGTTATTTCCCTACATATTCATTACGTTTTTTTTTCTACTTCCGCACATTCTGCAGGTCCTATCGTCCATAATATTAACATATTTTGATACAATACATTAATACCTCATATACAAGCTAGAAACTTGTGTTAATTTCAAAGGAAGGCATTTAATAAAGACGAACACGTCACGGTATTGGCAGCGCGTCGTCGGTGGCACCGGATGAGCGCAGACCGGACGATTGTCTCGCGGCCGTCGTAAATAACTAGCACCGTGTCCGGTGGCCCGGGGCACGCTCGAATACTGAATCGTCAGCTAGAGTGGCGGCACTCTACGCTGGCGAATACTCTCGCCTGCCCCTTCTGCACAAGTATACTCCGTAAACGTCGTCTCTGCCCATCGTCTCCGCTTATTAATATATCTTGTGACGAATAAACATGCGGGTTACTCCGACGGATGAATCTAAAATGTCGAAAATCGACGGCGCCCTACGTCCTCTCGGCGCTAGACGCAGGAAGTGGCGGTCGCGCGCAGCATATGGATGAGCGCTGCGTGTGCCCCGCACCGCGCCGGCGACTCATCCGACTCATCTAACCGTCAACGACATCGATCGTACCCTCGATCTCATGCCGTCGGAATCGTGGGCATGCAAATAGCTGCAAGCATATCGAGCCGTTTGATTCCTTTAACGATCTAGGCGCGGGATTAAATTGCCTGCCAGCGATTAATTCCAGGCGAGGCACAAACAATGGACACGTGATATAAATAGCTCGAATAAATGTAATATGGCCTTTTTTCTTGGTCTATTTTATTGAGCGACCGCTGCGTTCGGAGGGTGCATCGAGGGCGGGTGTAGATCGTGCGAGCCGCAGCGTGGCCGAGGCCCGATAGCATCGCGCCGCGCGCTCTATAAATAGATGGCAGACCCTTGAACCAGCCGCGGTCGTCACAGCACACCTCAAAGGGCCCCAACTGCACTTGTACATTTATCTCAATGCTTATTTTGTGTTGTTTGCTTGATTGATTTATCTTTTGCTAACAATTTACAAAGAAAACCTTTTACGCTCCAAATACCTTGAAACAATCATAAAGCCAATGTAAAGTGTAATCTTGACTATATGTAGCAGGTGAAAACGATGGTTGCCTCTTAAGTGGGTCCTTCAACTGCCTTTGATAAGTATAGTTTGTTTAAATTTCTAACAGCGTCAATAGTGCGCAGAGGCCCGGGTACCGCAACAATTGTCCATACATCACGGCGTGGCGAGCGTGGCGTATCTCCTCGCTCGCTCGCTTTCATTCGCGCATGCGCACGACGGCTGCTTATTTTTTCATGGCTGATTAGAGTAAAAGATGCGCAACCGGTCGAGGCGACGTGCGCTAGGGGACGGACGAAGGCCGCGCCGGGCTGCGCAAGTCCGCGGCGCCCGCGCCCTCGCGGTTACATAGCCCACGTCTCCCGCTAATGATGCGCCTTCGTACTCCCCTAATTGGACGTACGCCGACCACTCGTCACCAGGAAAAAACCACCACAAGAGAACACATTGTTTCTTACCGCTTATACTCTCAGTCGTTAAAACAAAACGATTCACTTGCAATTTAAACGTATTTAAGTTTGAGACACGCGCATATCTCCACAATAATTTGTCGATGCAATTTTCATCCTTTTTTCCGTACGATTTTTTTTTCAGGTATGATTTTAAAAACAAATTAATTCTCAGGAAATTATTCATTTGGCAAAGCCGCTGAAACACCGAACGAGCCACGAAATGTAATTTGGTCCTTACTCCTGATGGAATATAATAACCTTCATCTTTAATTACATGCCATAAAGCCATTAAGCTGATGGAAAATAGTAAAGAATATGCGTTGTTAGACTATACGAGCATTTTTATTAATAATCAGCTCTTTAGGTGAAATATAAAACCGACATATTAAACAATCTGTATAATTTTGTAAGTGTATTTGTTGCTATGAATAGTTTTCAACCTTATTGCAAAAGTCATTGCGAGACATATTTTAACGGGACGGTAATTAACGTCCCTCAAGCCTACGACAAGAATTGCTCTCTAATAACACCAGGTCGCAGTCAACCGTCGTAGATTGCTGATGCGCTGCACTCTACGCAAGCTCTGCCTACGAATAGCTGTAACTAATAACGCAACTGTTTTTTACTTACAGTATCTAATACAATACAATGTTGATACGTATTAATTTTAATAAACTTTGACCATAAGTACAATCTAAAGTTTCCGTTACATACGTAAAAGCTTATAAAAACGTGTTAAAATAACAAGAGCTTTGCGAAGCTTTCTCTATACTAAAATAAATCGTATGTATCTAACACCTGCAATCTTAATTAAACTAAGGGGCACACTCGAAAGAGGAAATAAGCAAATTCACGACCGACGATGTTCAATGTTAGACAACGTTTAAAATGCACGTGAACATCGTTCCGTTCTTACAATTCTAAACTAAACTTAAGTACAAAAAATAATACAGGAGGTATAATGCTACTTTAGAAAAAGCTTGGTGATAAAAACATAATATATTAAGTTTATTCCATTGTTAAGTGAGTTTAAATCCACAGGAATACCCAAATTTACGACCGACAATACCACATCCTGTATCCTTCGATGTAACATAACTGTCGATATTATGCAAAAGAAGTTTTTTAATACACCCTACATATAAAATGTATTTGAATTAATACTATTATCCGGCGAACGATTGTCTTAATTCATTCCCGGCTCGGTTTGTTTGTGTTGCATAGTTCTTAAACAATTTTTATTGTTCGTCTCGATCCGGCGCCGGCACATGACTCGACACACACGCTTTGGATTCACACTGCAATTTATTACTTTTCAAGCAATTAAACCTGTTGTATTATAATGTGTTAAAAAGATACATTATGTGTACACATCGTGTATCGACTGTGGCAGCTTAATAAGCGATCGCAGACTTTAAACCTGTAATTTATAATGAAGGATTTAAATTCGAAAAGCTTAGCTAAAGTGATTCGTGATTATTTAGCAACTAAGATGAACGTGAATTTAGCAAAATTAGTTCCTTCATTTTAACAGACTCTCTAAAAAGGTTTGTGAATATGTTTAGGTTTCTAAAATGCGAATGAAATTATACTGGCCGTAAAAGTTACAACAATTAAAAAATAACAGGATATATAAAGACAATTTTGTTTTTAAAATAAATGTTAATTAATTCTAAATGTCATTTGAAAAAAGTGATAACTTATTTTATGATTACATGTTTTATTCCAGTATGAGCGTCATGAATTCATAAAATACAATAATAAAATAATACAGTGTGCAGGAACACTTGAGCCCCATCTTATATCCCAGGTCGCGTCGAACTGCTACGTGGTCAGCAATTCATTTAATTTAATAGCTTGTCACTTTAATTGTCCCCTCGAAGCCCCCTTTGTCAATCGTCCATCCTTTTACGTTGCTGAATCATTGATTGTTTCATGCATTGCTTTCTCTGCAGTCGGGTCACGCGTGAAATTTAACCGCTACATTAGTAACCTTTTATTGCGCTGTAAAAAAGATGATTCGCCATGACGCTTTTATGACACAGTACCGGTAATGTTCAACTTGTTCCTACTTGAATAAGTGAAATTTAAATTAATTTGTAACCTTACTTGCAGCATTATCCGATAGTTTAAGTCACATAGAGACGATGAATAATATGATAAGTGAATCTGTATAATATTACGTTTCTTATCTAAATTAATTAAATATGGCAATTATAAATTTACTCAGTTCACTGATTATTTCCGGATGAAATAATTTAGAGCATTAGGGAGGCAATATCTTAAGAGGGATTGCTGTCTGGCGAGCCATGATCGTGTCACTTCGATAGACACGGGCAGGCGAATCCAGGCTAGTCCCGGCCAGACCCGATCAGTCCCGGCGAGACCCGGTGATAACTCGTCGCCGGGAAGCTTCCTTGACGTCTCGGATAATGTCTGTGCGTTGTTCCAGCCATCGATGCGGCTTAACTAATGAAGATTTAAATCGTCGCTGGTGCAAGCCGAGCCCTGTTTTGCATCCTTCAATCTACCACACCAAGGTATTTATGCACTTATTATGTTAGTATTTAAATGTTTAAATTATTTGTATTGCAGAAACTAGAAACATATTATCACTTCGAATTCTATGAATTTTGTATTGTGTCTATTCTTAATCGAGTAGATATACAATATATGCATTCAATAAGTCTTGTGACATGTTAGAAATCAGTATAATTTTCTCGTTATTGCTTTAAGTTCTTAAAACAGGTTCCTGCTAGGAAATAGTCCACAATGAAGATATAAAATTATAGCACGTTAAAATATACAACTTAATTTTCAGGGCCTTATAGAATATCTGGTGCGTGTTTGGAAGAAGCCGCCGCTGGTATTTTGCGACTACCACGGCCATTCGCGCAAGAAGAATGTTTTCTTCTACGGGTGCGCTGGCGCCGAGAGCTGGTCGAGCACCGACCGTCTTGCACCCGACGAGCCTGTCAAATACCTAGTGAGTTGCCTTACCAAATGCGACGGCGACGGCCATTCACGCGGCCCGGTAACGAACCTCACTCCACAGATGGCGCTATTTGTATGCAGCTCTGCCGCGCGTTATCGTAAATCTACTTGCACATCTCGGAATCGGGAATACCGCACTGTTAGCTCACGTTCAATACCAGACCGGTCGTAATTAGACATGTTTTTGTATAACTTGCATACGTTACTTTATACATCTGTGTACTTTCTTTATGTACAAAATAACGTATAGTTTCTAACGCTGAGAGAGTCAAACACAAACTTTTTGTTAAATATGTTTGATGTAAAATGTCACAGGAAGCTAATTCAACAACAACAGATTTCTTATCAGCTTTTTAAAAACATAGCAGCTAACGGAATACGCCTAGCAATAAGATTAGATATCTACTCCTTACATTTGAAAGAAATTCTTATAACGTAACATAAAATAAAACTGCATTCCACAAAGAAAATGAAGTTGTGCATGATATTATTCGCCAATGTATCGGCGAGGTAGCAATGAACACTTATCGGAATGTCAAGATCGAATCATCGGAAGCGTTGTATTGCATAGGATTAAGATTATTGCTATTTATGGATATTGCATAAGCAAGTAAGTAATATCGCGTATTACTATTCAAGATGTATATTTTCTCCGAAGAGATGCTACGCTCACAACAAATACAAGTCATAGATAGAAATAATGCTAATATTTATAAAATGTTTTCTATTAAATGCTATCATTTTACGTATATTTTACGGCATTATTTAATCAATTGAAAACTGTATATATCTTATTATAGTTACAGATATTGTTCTCTTGAAATATGCTCTACATCTGATAATTTTATAGTTTATTTCATTTGTAAATGTATTTTGTATGGCACAGATGCTGCCTGCACTGATGCACCGAATATCAGGCGCATTCGCACTGGGATCATGTTCCTTCCGAGTGGAGAGGGAGCGGGAGAGCACAGCGCGAGTCACCGTGTGGCGCCATCTCGCGGTCGCACGCTCCTACACCATGGAGGCCTCCTTCTGCGGCTTCGATCAGGGACCCTACAAGGTAAGTTCATCTAATTATCAAATATCTTTGCAAGAAAGTGAAACGCTCTTCCAAATTACGTCTATTTACCGTCGTAATGTGATATAAAGTCAATCAAGATTTATTTAAATGTAATTATCAAAAAATCACAAAAATGCTCTGTTAAACGTGCAAACATATTTTTTGTTAGTAAATTAGATATAATAATAAGAAATTTCTCTTTAAAATGATTGTAAATATGATTGTATATAATGTTACATCTTGTAATTATTTGTTGATTCTTGTATATCCTTTTTTTTCAGTTTTTTTTATATACGCTATATTTTTTATTAACGACACCGATTAGGCAGCGACTTAATCGATTTTGTCCGCCTTGTCGCTATTAAAACGTGAATAATGAGGCTTTAAGATTTTACGGTTTCTTTTAACACAGGTAGTGAGCCGGTCTAGACCTGTTCACTGATTACTCTTGACGGAAGATATATCGCTCGGTAATAAAATCTATCACTCCTGTTGGAATACCATCTTGGATTCCAATTCGTAATAATATAACACTTTCAAAGATTTACCTTTCTACATTAAAGAATTCATAATGTTTCATACAATAAAAGGAAGTAATTCACATACTATGTGACTAACAAATCTCAACATAATATATGTATAATATGAACAGAACAATATAACCGACATTGAAGAAATTCCAAGCATTAGTAAATATAACATAGTATCACAGTATTTTACACATTGAACAAAGTCTTAACATATTTAAATATATTTTTTTACATTCAGTCAACCAAGATCTCAAATAAAAAAGTTTTTTTTAGCTACATTAGGTTATCGATTCCAATTAATTAAACTCTTTAGACTAATCAATAATTACGTATTAACAAACGTAATGTTTCACTTAGTTTTCAGTTTACAAATGATTGCGTGCTTCAAGATTAATGATATCGTAGGTAGCCGTGGGGCGATGTGTCCCCCCGCGCCCTCGCCTCTTAGATCGCGCAGATAACTCTGGCAATAAATCAGGCATCTACATGATGTGTGAAGACGTTTCTATAATATTTCTTTAATACCCCACGTCCACGATGCGATCGCGCTGCACGCAGTTATCCGGTGGCTATACACGACCGCAAATATTTTTCTTTCTACTTTTTTTTTATTGTTAGCTTCATTGATTTAGATGTAGCGCATAATCTACAGTATGTTAACAATTTATTTTAGTATTTTATAAGACAGTTCTTACGATAGAATTATGTTAATTTTTAAATATAATCTGTTCACAATGGAATGTTACTATTATTGAAAATACTTTCAAAATATTGTTGGGTATATAAATTGACGTTATCGTAAAAAAATAATTCCTTCTAATTACAAGAGCACAAGTCGAGAAACAGGTAACGTTTATATTTTTTGCTTTACAACTGTGAGAGCTTGTACGTGATGATGTTCCTTGAAGAATCTTACAACAGAAGCTATTAGCAGACGTATCGGGGGTTTAATGACATTTTCTGCTTATGACAAAAACGCACCCCGACTTAGAAATAGATAGTTTAATTCTATGGCTCTTCAAACAATCTTAGATAAGCATTTAGCTGAGATTTGCTAATGCATATAAACTATCGTGATTAATTAACTTCTTTCAACAACACTATAAATTCGAAAACCACATAACCATTTTTTTATAATTGTTTAATTCTGAAAAGTTAAACGATGGTGTGGGATTGTAAGAAAAATAAAAATAATACGATAAATTCTTTCGATTAAGTGGAAATCCATGACCAGTACATAAGAATCTAGGGTTTATTTAATTTACCCTGCGATATGCATAAGTTAAACTGTCTAAACAGCTAAAATTCCCAGGACAAAATATATGACCTGAGATTACTCGTGAGGCCCACTTAGCGACGGTGCCCTTTGAAGCGAGTTTTTAACAATATTGCGGGCAAAATTCCGCGGTAATGAAGGCTTAACAAGCGTCGCGTGTCCGAGCATACCGAGCTTTTTTTTATTTATAACACGGTCCAAATGAAAGCTTCGAGTATGAGCAAGCACTCGATGTCACTCCGGTACTTTTGTGTTGCGCTCCGAAACCTGTTGAGCTTTTGTTGTAACATCTAAATATAGTTTGTTGAACATTTTCGCTTCGTAACAAAAAAGGTAGTTTTTGTATCACTAACAATGTGTACAAGATCAAATGCAACAAAGCGATGCGAGATTTCATTTCCAAACAGGTTTTACCAGAAAGTTTTTATTTCCCCGTATTTAATTTCCGAAATATTTATACGGATACGGGAAAGCTATGCGTAATATTCTGACTTACAAAAATTGGAATTCAAGAAAGCAAAATAATAATTACCACTGTTGGCAAAACACGGTTTTAACTTTATACTATAACAGTATATAAACGATGAATTTCGATATTCGCTAACATACTACAATATTATTAGGGGTTGCACCTGAACACGCAGCACCTGCAGGGCGTGGGTGGCGAGCTGTGTGAGGCGCTGGGCGGCCTCAGCGACGGCGCTGCCATCGATATACAACTCACCAAAGACCTCAACGGGTGAGTAGCAATCACACTCAAAGCATAAGTCTGGGTTCCTTCTTAATTCTCATTCTTTTTGGAAAAAACAAGAAAATGTCTTAATACCAGTGCTAAAGTAGTGAAATTCAAAACAACAAAGTAGTTCGGAGAAGAACAAAATCCCACGTATTTTTTTCTTGTGATATGTAAATGTTTCTATCCTCTTTTAAAAAGTTGATATTAGTTAGCTTGACGGTTTGACGGATACAAAATTAAATTCAACTTATTAAACGTTTCACTTAGATATATGATATTTTATCTCTAAGCAAAGTTTCAAGAAGGAAACTGTTAAGTCCGTTACTTTGGCCGTGATCGTATCATGTTTCAACGTAGGCCAACCTCGAATACTTCCTTCATATTATGCTACATATAGTCATTTTAATAAATGACACAAAATCTTTAATTAAAAAACGTCCATTAAAAACATTTTCCAAAGTATAAAATAAATTTGAAATAATAACAAATATTATAGGTTACAAATCACTGTATTTAAAATATTTAAATTCTCTAAACTCGACTGAGCATACAATGTTTTCCACGTGAGTCATCCACATAGAACGTCGCTGGGAACATTGTATGGATCTTTAAATAGACTATAAATCAAATAGAGCCTATTCACGAGTCAATTTAAAACTTTACGAACAGAAAAAGAAGAAAGTTAATACTGGTACAACGATTATAGTGTTAATTACGTAATAAATAAAATATTTTTTTATCCTGCAGTAACATGGTTGAAGTAAATTGGAATAATGCAGGCAAAAGGTAATTGCGTGCTGTCTCGTGCATGTGACTATAAAATTGTTGTAAATCTAACCTAAAATTAACTTCGAGAAAACTTTAGCCTAAGTTATAATCTGTCAAATAAAGTTTACATTTTTAACAATTTTGCAAGAAAAAATATTAATGTCACGAATTTATTAGATGGTCTTAAAACATTAGAAACAAATTAAAATTGAATTTGTATTCGTATTTGAATATAAGAGGTAACTTGTAGTAATTGCCGTCAATAACAAAGTCCATTAGAGTTAGAAACACTAACAGTGCGGTAACAACAAAAGTGTTTCCACTTTACAGCTTTGTTTGTAAGTGGTCAATTGTGACACTTCAAGTTGTGGCAAGTTTGAGGCAACTTTGTAACAATCTCGCTTTAGTTTGCGGTGCATGTACTAACATGTTTTCACACATTATGATGCTCGGAGAGTGATTGTTTTACCACGCCGAGCCTTAGATAATAGAATGTGTTAAATAATGTTATAACTAACCTTTTCTTGTTTTAATATTGATTTGTACTTTGTGTTCTTTTTACATTTTATTTCTTTTTTATTTATTGTATACTTACGTTGCGTAAAGTTTACTTACAATTACAAAAAAATATGTCCTGAGTATTGCTTTAATATCAACCGATATAAACTTTTGTTTTTACTTTATACACACACACAAATCATTTTTAACATTTTTATTAATTATGACTATTGTTATTTAGCATAAGAAGTATGTGCAAAAAAGTACGGACTTAGGGTCTGTACATGTATATTAAAAAATATATAATGTTAGCATTATTTATAAATTAATTGATACACAAATGTCTTATAATTGCTATTGATTATCCGATAACGATGCAACATTTGCAAGTATTTAATATTTTGCAAGTTATTGCGGATCTATGAAAGCAATATGCAATCGCAATGCGTAAATAGCGTTAGTGGAGTAAGGGCTTAATCGCCCCCTTTCGATTCATTAGTCCTCTCAAAGGCATCAAGTGCGATTACGTCTTCAATGCGGGCGACGCTAAATCAATACAGCAGATATAAATTATTGGTCCAGCCGTGCTATTTTAATATTAAGCTCGCCGTACACTGTGCTTATTCCTATGATGAATCGTTGCGGGCAATTATGCGGCAAAATGCGAATGTGCTGCCCTTTCTGCGGTATTCTATTAATAAACTCTATGGTATGTAGATACCTCGTCTTTTCATACTGGAGAGATTTTAAAATAGAATAAGTTGCGCAGCGAGATAAAAGTTTATTGCAATAAATAACTGTACTGACGAATAAAATTTGTTTTCTAATGATACACTAATTCAGTAATAATTATCATCATAAAAATATAAGACATATCTTTTATGAACAAATGAACATGCATAATTTACTATGATAGATACTTCGAGGAACAAAAGACTTCAACGAAGCATACTAATTTTGTCACTGCAACTTCAGTTAGAAATTTGGTATGCCATATTTAATATATTTTATTTATGTTTACAGAGAAAGAGCCGTCGACAGCGAAGCGGGATCATGCTCGGACAGTGTGCTCAAGACGGATTCAGATGAAGACTTCGATTAACTAAGTTATAAGATGTATGGTAAATATAATTTTGTAACCGCGGACGTATCTTGAGAAATTTACGCGTTATAAGATGCAAACAACTTGTTAATGTTCTCGAATTAAGCAAACATTGGGCCTATTTTTTAATGAAACCGTTTCGAAGAATGTTTTTATTTTGATCGGTGAAATTGATTTGTTAGTTCATAATTCAGAGAAGTCATTATTCAGATTGCATTGTGCAATAGCAAGTTGTAGAAATTAAGGCTCGTTTACGATCGATCGATACGTCTGCAACATAAGGTATGGTAATTTATTACGTTTTTAAATTTCAATTGCAAATTAGTCGTCGCGTAGTAATTATGACCGATTGAAGTGATCAGTGTATTGTTTTTTTCTTATTTTGTATATGTATTTTTATTTAACATTATCGTTTGAGAAGTTATGTTATATTTTTATAAGTGCGTATTTCATTATGTGGTCAAGTAATTTGATTTTATTTTTGCTGTCTGTAAATTATTTCTGTTTGTGATCTCAGTAACATTAAAGTTATATCGAAATAAAATTTATTTTATTTAGTACGCCTCATGGCTAAGGCAATTGTAACATCTTTCATGTTACAATGATTGCCTCAATTGTAACATGAAAGATGTTACAATTATTGCCTCAATTGTAGCATGAAAGATGTTACAATTATTGCCTCTAATTTAACAGCAAATTAAACGTAAAAGGAAAAATCAAAGAAACTACAAAGATAAAAATCACTGTTTTATTTTAACTCTTTATAAATAATATTCTATCAACGTTAAATCACACAAGGTTTAAAACAATATAACTGCAACTTAAAGAAAAACAAAAATCTGTTTTAATAATTATTACAAACAATATTTTTTCAGGGATAAAAAGCTCAATCATACAATTTTCCTTGCGCTATAATTAAAGTGAATGCATTTATGTTGAATAAAAAAGTAAAAATCGTTCCATTGAAAGCACTCATTGACCTTTCATGAATCGAGGGAGAATCTGATCAAAGTTAATTATACATGAATATTAAACATTAAATCAATAACTAGTATAGAAATGCTCCGGAAAAGTTGAGAATTTTTTGCTACTTGGGGAAAAATTTGATTTTAGAATCAAGCAATGAAACAAAAAGAACAACACATTTTATTGTCGTTTAAAATTATTTTATATATAGACTAATTTATCCATTGTTCTAAATCTACACCCAGAGACTCTATAAAGTACATTTTTGGACTGTAGGTATGAAAACTCTAGCCAGAAATTAGATATTGCATAAATTATATTTTATAGAGATATAGATTTTCAAATTAAACATTTATTTCTTGCTTTATTATAATCTAACTTACGGTCTAAACAAAACAATGTAGTACAGCTTAACTACATTTAGAAAAAAAATAATTTGAGCATGAGAAGTAAATAATTACACAAATGTAAATAATAAAATTGAATAAATAAATGTCTTTCATAAGGAATTATAAATTACATGAAATTAGAAACAAAAATATAAAAGAAATAAGCACTTTTTTATTTAAAAAAAATATTATTTAATTAGTCACCAATTACAATTAATTATATTGAAATATAATAATACTTTGATCTATTTACCTATATTTTTTTTTACAGAAAATACACTCAGAAAGTCAACTTGGCCATAGTACACTATTCAACAGATTTGGTTACTTTAAGGCGATCAGCTTCAACCATTTAAAAAATGTTAAATTTTAAAGGCATTTTTAAGGCAATTTTCATTGTTAAAATTCTCTTCTCCACACTCTCACATAGCTAGTATTTATTTTTACTCCGATAGTGAAGACCGAATGAATGAACCATTAGCGACGATACAACGAGGCAAGATAATAGGCAAATGGGCCAAATTCAAGGCAAACGTATCCACCTGGAAGGAACACAACTCTTTCAAGCCAAATGAATACATCAAATTAAAGCAAATGCAAAAACAATACATTCAAGAACAATTTTTATTATTGCCCGTTAGCCTCGTAAAAGTTACATGTTAAGAAATAGAGTCGTACGGCTCATTCAATCGAAATCTCGCTTTATTTTTTATTTATATAAAAATACAGTTTATTATAAAAATAGACCATATTTCTGACTTTTTGACGTGACGCCTTATAAATCGTTCTGAGCACAAGAGCGAGTACGCGTAACAAACGATAGAGAGGCACGATCTGCTCTAAAGTTCAGCTTGTGACGCATCTATCTCTTTCTAATTCAATGTGGACGAAAATTGCTTTTTGTTCACAAGATATATTTTCATAATTACGAGTGGCTCTAGCAGCACTAAATATACCATAGATATAGAAAAAAACTTTTTTTACTAAGTACTCTGTGGACTGTAGTAACTTCTGTCAAAATTCTCTCGAAATACTCAAAATTAATTTACTTTATGAAGAGAGTTCATAACTTATTTATAATAATATAATTTGGCTGGTTTTATACATTTTTGCTATATAAGTTCGTGTTTATGCTAGTTTATACTGATATTTGTTCCTATTAAATGCTAGAAGGCTTTCTGTTGTCATATCAAATCGAATACTAAAGTTGAAACAAGAAACTTTTCGGACGATTAAAACGAGGAAGTCCTATTTAAAATTTACCACTGTCTTAAGTCTTAAAAGCTTTAAATTCTTTATCACAAAATAAAAATATAAGCTATAATTGCTATTATTACAAGACAAAGTTTGATTGAACGGAACAAAGTTCAGGACACATTCAATCACTTGTATACACAAATATCTGTTTTTGTATTGATTTTTATACTAAATTAGCACAAAATGCATTTGTTCTTTCCGATCTTACACAACCTTTAACAATAAAACACAAAAAATAATAAAAACAGATACAACTTTGTTGGACACACACAATAATTACAATATTTCTTTATACATCCTCATTGTTATTTCTGACATCACTGGTACTTAAATCTCAACATTCTCCATACACATACATGTCACATGATCTTATAAATTATTAGAACCACACAATATGAACAAAATTGTCCTTTTGGATTTCCGTCTTAGTGCTATGTAGTTTGTATCAACTGACGAGATATACTGAAACAAAAAGTTTATTTTTATATTTTGGAAGAAAGTACCAACCCTTTACGATTTTTAACAAACTTGTTTGCTGTACCATAGAATAATACGTTTTTTTTTAAATTAGTGAAAAGGTACACATATGCTACAAGGCTAGGTTCTTAATTAAAATATTAGAGTTGGTCAATATGACCATATGGATACCTTGTATCGATATTGCTATGTCTTGATGTGCGTGGTGTGAGGTCAGGGCGCGGGGGTGGAGGTGGCGGAGGGTCGGGGGCGGGTCTGCTGGCGCCGCTGCCGCGCGAGGAACGAGTGTCCGCCGGCCAGCAACGCGAACCGCTGCTCAACTGCCTCGCGGTGGCAGCGCAAGCTGAGCTGGTACCACGCGGAAGCCAGCAGACGCTGCTCGTTGTTACCTCGACCCTCCTCGCTGCCCTCCCCACTGCCGCTTCCACTCCATCTTAAAGTAATATACAGGGTGCTTAAAACTAATGAAGTGAAAAAATGTACCAAGTTGGTATCTACACAGGAAGTAATAAATCTTACAAATTTAATGATAAACTCACTCGTGTCGGTTGTTGTTGGTGGGCGTGGCGTCAGTGCGTGCGGCGGCTGCACTATTGTTGCCGCGCGAGTAGCCTAGTGTTATGTCCGATATTGACTGCTGGCCTGGATTTCATAATATATTAACCATGATATTATCTAGAGAATATTATTATTAGCTGCATCAAAATTAAAATATTTTTCTCGTACCAGTGGTGATAGTCCTGGGGTCTAAAGACTTGATGACCTCTTTGGCCTTGTCGACGCACTTCTTGTACTTGTCCTCTAGCGCGAGCAGGTCCGCGTCTCGTGCCGCCAGCGCCTCCTGTAGCTTGGCCGCGCGCCGCCGCTCCTCACCCAGCGCACCCTGCAACTCCTCCACCTGCAGCGCTGCACAACATACGTTACTAGTACCACTATTCTCTAATATATGTCTATTTTGTTATGTCATTATTACGATTAAGAAGAAACAAAGCGAAAAAGTAGGAGACATAACACGCTTATTTTAAACTTCTTTTAAAGCGGACACTTGTTAACTTAATAAGTAAATATGGTATGCAGTACTAACATTTACGCTGGTTGTCCTCAATGGCGGAGGCGAGGCGCGGGTGCGGCTGCTCGAGCGCGGCCTCCAGCTGCATGATGCGCTGCGCCGCCTCACGGTTCACGCCACGCTGCTTCTCCAGCCGCGCCGCGTAGTCCTCCAGCAACGCCTGACATACAAACACCGACCAACTTATCACACTGATATTCCAAAATATATGTACAACTTACATGCACACGTCAAAGCGCACGCGTACGTACACGTGTACGTATGCATACGTGATCTAGCTAAAATGTAAGCATAAACTAGAGCCTTAATATTGATTTATAGTTTGAAATGCAGGGGACCACTTAATGGTCTGACATGCCTGCACTGAAGCCTGGTCCGCCTGTGCTCCTTGATTCTGCCGCAGGAGCTTATTCTCGTGCTCGAGCCGCACCAGCCGCTCTTTCAGGTCATTTGGCATCATCTCTTTGGACACGTTTCCTTCGCTAGCTCCTGGAAATTAAAAAAAATAAACACTTACTTTCCACTTTGGATGAATAGAGAATGGAAAGACAGAAGCTTAACTAGGACTGAGAGGAGAGATCCGCGTCCCTCGATCTGTCGGTTCCTCGTGTTAGTACTAAGTACAGACTTCTTTTAAAATAACGTAATGGCCGTCGTAAACGGAAAATTTCTTGGTGAAAAATGAATGTACTAGTGCACCTGCGGAGGCGGTGGAACAGCGCAGTTCATCAACAGTCTCCCGCAGCGTGGCGCGCTCCTGCAGCAAGGCGTCACGCTCGCGCTGCAGCGACGCCGCGCGGCTGCTCAGCTTCTTGTTCTCGATCTCCAGCTTGTCCGCTTTCGTTATCTCCGCGTCTAACTTCTCGTTTAAATCTGTAACCTGTATTATTAAAAAAAATAGTGATAAAGTTAAATTTTGTGGTGTTTTGACAATGACTGGTCTACATGTTTGAAGGCTGTTCATTGAGCAATTTCTTAATTCCCTCCGAAAGTCGTCCATGGAACTCCAAGCGAGATATTTGTACTTATGTCATGAGTTCTCTTAGCAATTCCTTACTATTTATACTTTTAGTGGATTAAAATGAGTGAACGAGTTATTCACCTGCTTCTTGTATATATCGAGCTGAGCGCGCACGGCGTTCGCACGCGCTGCCGCCTGCTCGTGCTCGATGGCGCGCTGCACGTGCTCCAGGTTAGCGCGTTCCAGTAACTTCACCTAGATACATACAAACATGTTTTTTATATAAGTCTAGCTGTGAAATAGACACAGGTTTATTATAATAATATAAAGAAGAATCAATAAAATAATTTGCTTACCTGTCTTCGCAAATCCACATGTTCCTCCATCCTCTTTTTGTATGAAGCCACCGCGGC